GGTGTTGGATATGCTAATAGCCTGATTTGGTCATTGCACATTGTATGCATGAATTGAAACATCATATTATGTCCCATAAATATATGCAATTAGGGGTTGGGGAAATAGCTCAGTTGGTAAAGTGCTTGCCTAGCATACACAAAGCACTGGTTTCAATCCCCAGCACCACCACCACCACCAACACACACACACACTATATATATATATATATATATATATATATATATATATATATATATATATATATATATATACATACACACACATTTGATTAATATTTGTCAATTAAAAATGACACAAAACTTTAAAAAGAATAGTTACATATAGGCCTAAATATGAGCTGTTTTGTAGATAAAATCGGATATTTTGAAATTAATGACTCTAAAAGGAATTTAAAAAGATATAATTATACTAGATCTAAGATATTAGATTATAATTTACTTACTTAGTTCAGATATTTTTCTTTGACATAGTAGAATAGTGATTTAACCAGTAGAATCTTAACAGATGCTCCTTGAATTTACTTCTAAGTACCTGAATGGAGCATATGGATCAAATTTTTATAGATGGAGTAATTTTCATTGCCATTTTAATAGTAAGATATTTGGGGGCAGTGGATTGCTGAGCTAGGGCTTCCTTTTCTTCCTGCCTCCATAGTCTCTGAAGTTGAAGTTGATGCCACCATTTTGAGCATCACTTCCTGGAAGTATTTTGGATTGTCTTTTCAGTATCAGCATAACTGCATCTGCCTTTCCTGTTTCAGGAAATTCTGTATAAATTTTGGCCAATGAATGTACTTTGCTACATCTGTGGGATCATTTATTCTAGCAAATATCTTCTCTGTCATTTCTAGGGATTTGGGACAGGAATGAAAGCAAGCCACACACCCTTTGAATCCCATCATTCTCTTTGCTGCTGCAATTATATGTCACTAATCATGCCCTAATGTAACTCTTAGACTAGATATTAATTTTTCACATATATTAGTTTACTTAAGCAGGCATAACTGTTATGTTAAAGAAATGAAATTTAAATGGCCCAATCATGGGCATGTGCACACATGTACACACACACACACACACACATGCCCATATTCTTTGCTTCCACTGTCTATTTACACTGCTCCATAGAGTTAGTTCTTCCTTTTTCCTTGGATAAGATCTTATACAGATACTATAATTTCTTTAGTCACCCTCAGGTAATAAAAACCTATTGCTCATATTTCAATAATTAAATATCTCATCAAAATGATGATTTCATTTAAGGTTAAAACTTTTCTCCTCCACCAGCTAAAGCCTACTTCAGGGCAGTGAAGTCTGCAGAGGGAATTGGGAGGTGAAGGACAGGGTGAGGTTTGTTGATTTTCTATTTCTCCACCTGTTCTACTCTTTCCTTTCCCCAGACACTGGACAGCATGAATGTCCTTTTGTGATTATTTGTCTACTATTCATTATGTAGCCAAGACTGTTTTGTGACAAGAAATGGTTTTGTTACCTTAGAGTAATCAGACAAAAAAAAATGGGACTTGATCAAGATTTATTTCTTCTAGGAACAGGAATTTAACCATCCTATAAAAGCTTACTTGAACAGGCAGTGGGGAGGAAATTGAATTAGCTTTTTATTATACCTAGCAAGTCTCATTTGTTCAAAATAATGATGGTTGTATTTGTGGGGAACTCTCTGGGATCCTTTAAGACTCTGTGTGGCACTACTGAGTTAACCTAGATGTGAAAAGAGGACCAGTATTTTCAAGGGCAAAACTACTGCTGAGAAATAAGAATGGCCTTTTTGATGACTTTTAAAGAGCAAGATTGCTAAAAAAGTCTTGGGTGTTACCTGTTCTTGCAGCTGCTGATTTTTTGTCAATTATACAAAAATGCTATCCTTGGAGGAGGTGAGCTGTTTGACACTAAAGACTTTTCTTTATTTTTGACTGAAGATCTAAGATCTACAATCTTCAACTTTAATTCAAAGTGAAGAGACAAACTAGTTAGGTAGAACATGCAAAGCATTTCTGCAGAAACTGAATTTCGTGGTCTCTCATTCACCTTAAAGATATAAAGACAAACAATCAAAAAATTTTTTTTGAGAAGACCTGGACAAAAGCATTTAGAATGTGTCAGAATCATCTGGAGGGAGAGTGCAGGTTGTGATCTCACTCCCAGAGGGTAGAGACAGGAAAGGTGTTCCTTCACTCTAAACCTGAAGAGTTAGGCCCTCACAGGTATCACCCAGGACTTGATAAGAGCTCCTTGGAGGTTGGGGGATTTGATGGACTGGGGTCTCCCTCATTCATGCTTGCCAAAAGACTATAGGCTAGAGGGTTTCAGAAGCAGCCTGTGGCATCAGAAGGAATACTTGACTTGGCAAGTCTTATACTTTCTTCAGTATGTGTCAGAGGAGTCTGCTTTTGGGGGGTCCAAGAAAGAACTGTCAATTGAAAGTCATCTAAAATGAAACTTTCCATGATTTTTCCAAGAGGTAAGTAAGTCATCCTGGGGACAAAGATGCTGGCTACCTTAAATGTGTAACTTGAGAGGAAGTCACAAGCTACTCCTCATTCTCTGTGCCAATTACCCAGGTTATGTGTCTACTGGGTTTTCTTAAATGCAACACATATGGGCGGGGGTCATTCTAGAAGTTTAGAAACTGGGACTTAAAAAAAACCCTGATAGTCAAGAAAACAGGGAATAAGTGATATTATGAAATGCACTGCCTATACACATTTGATATTTTTTGTATTATCATTTGACTCAAGCTGGATTTTATTATGCAAATTGAATGGAAATTTTAGTGATATTTTATGAGTGTGTGCTGTGTTAATTTAGCTATCTCATGTACCAAATTGCCAATCTCCAGTTTGTGATGTGTATATATATAAAACCCAAAAGACTTTTAAACATATGGAAGTGCTTTTATGGATCACCCACGCTTACTTCAGGTTATGAACATTTCTACACCAAAGTGATTTTTCACATTAAGCTGGTGTAGGATTAGGTTTGCCTACATATACCAGAAATCATAAATCAACAGAGGCTGTTCACATTAGGTTTTATTCTTTCATGTAAAAAGCATGGAGGATATATTCTTAAACCTACTACTGGCACTGCGGGAATATGTATGGACAGGTGAATGAATGAATCAGATTGGATGGGACTTGTACTTTTTAGCTGCACATTGCTTAATTCCTTTCAGCCTCAGTTTTCCCCACCTGTAAAATGGAAATAAATTATGTCAAGTATTCTTCCTTTGCCCTCCTGATCTATTTTCTAGCTTTCTCCACCAAGTGCCAAGAAGGATAACTTCTGTAGATTACACCCGTGAGCTCCCTTGCCCTCTAGCATTCTGTGGGGGATTGGCCTGCAAGAAGCACTGGCAGGTGATTAGAGGAGGGAGAAGAATGAGTGTGACTACTTATCCTGTGGTTTCCTGCCTACAGGACCATGATTTGGTGATCATTGTGTGCCTGTTCTGAAAAACTACAACTATTAGATTGCACTGTCTTTATAGCTGTAGGTTTTTTTGGGTTCAGTAACTGCTCTACCATATGGCTCTTCTCTGACTATTCTCAGAGTACTTCAACATTGTTGAGATCTTAATGTTCACCATACTTTTATAAATGGATCCTTATATTCTCCCCAGTTCCCCATTTGATTGGTCTTTTCCTTCTGAGGCCATGATGGGTAAACAAGTCACAGCGTTGCTCTTTGTATTCAGTGAAATAATGCATATACTAATGCTATCATTATCTGTTTCCTTTTAATCCTGCATTATTTCATGCTTGGCAATATCTTGGCTGCACATAATTTCTGAAGGGTCGGTGGATTTATTGAAATATTTTACTGTTGAAAATGACCAGAACATAGCTCATGTCAAATTTTCAATTTTATACCTTAAAAAAAGGTGGATGCTAATTGTTTCCCCAAATATATTTTTTCTTCCTTTGTTGTTAAAATGTATAACATGAGGTCCAATCCAGGCTCCCTTAGCATTGACTGGTGAGTGGTGAAATCTTAGAGGAAGAACAGTTCACAGCTGGGAAATTGGGCTGGGAGACTAATGATTTGGTAAGTTGAGGTTTTAGAGAACAGTGGTCAGAGATCGGTGGTGTAGACCAGGGATCCAGGCCCAGAGACTATGGTTAAAACTATTTTGAATTGGGTAGGATCCTAGTTATGGCAGAGCCTTCTTGCTAACTTGAAGTAGACCAAACCTCTTGGACTACAGCTGTGATACTACTGCAATTGGAGGCTTCAGGTTTCTAAAGAGCAGTAAGCCTTTGTGTGAAACAAAAATCTAGTGGGATTGTTGTGTTCTGAGATTTCACTGGATGTTTGGGGGAACCTTGTCTTTGGGCTCAGGTAAAAGAGTGGGTTCTTTTGGTGATGAGTTCTGGTTCTCTGCTCTGAACCTCCAGATTCACGATCTAGAGGTTCATATGGGTGAAATACTGACTCCTTAGCTCCATTTTTCTTGCCAAGATTCCTTAGATGCTACCCATGATGCTTCTGCAATTGGTCTGAAAACATTAGTTTTCAGATTATCCCCCATAGTAATAATTGCTTGATATTTATCAAATTATCCTCCCTAATAAAGAATGGATAACAATGATGATGATGATGACAATGATGATGATATCTAAACTCCTTTTTTATTTAAAAAGTGATTGCTACAAATGTTTTCTTACTTAGGGAAGTTAAATATATAAACCCTGAGAAGGATAAAGAAGGAAATAGAAAGTAGATAAAAATTAGTATTTAGTTGAATGAAACACTTTCTATTTCATAGGAACAACTAATTTGATTTTATTTTCCAACAACACATAGTAAAAATTGCTATTTTTAGATATTCATGATAAAATAGTTGAGGGTTATATTATTTTTTAATGTGAAGGAGTCAATAATGAAAATCAGAATGCACTTCAATGGGAAAATATTTTAGTAACTGGACATTTTTGGTGATTAATTCATTTTTCTTACACGTGGCTTCTATTTTTCCAGATTTGGATATCAGAAACACACGAAGAGATGGCACAAGGTTTTTCAAACAAAAACTTCATTGAAATAAAGAGCAAGCCCTTATTAAATGAGGAAACAATGTGCTCTGGGATTATTGAGAGGTATTCTAAATACCTTCTTTTGTTTATAGGACCTGAACTTGCAGGAAAGGATTTGTATTAATAGTAATATAGATACCCCTCCTATTTTTTTGCCTCAAACTTTCTTCTCGTGCTGTACCCCTTCTTTGGGATTCCTTTTCCCTCAATGGTTTACCAGTTAACACTTTCACATGTTCTTGGTCCAGCTAAAAATCTCATTTCCTCTTTACACATTTTCTGACTACCTAGGTTTGAACCCCACTTTCACAAATGTGAAAGTTATTTGGTGCATACAATCCTGTTTGTACACTTATAAAATGGGAAAGACTAAACTGTTCACCTCAAAAGGTGGTTCAGAAGTTTAGATGAGATAAAGTATGCAATGTATCTAGAAATATTGCCGGAAATGCTGTCAGAATTAGGTAAACGTCATTAACCAGAATTAATTGCTCTGGTATCCCTGCCATTGGAGTATGTTATGTCCTACGTGAGAGCTGGACTTGTATTCTAGTTGTTTCTATGTGTGTGCAAGTCCTTGCCAGTGCCTCTTCATGGAAGAGCATGACATCGACTTTGTCTTTTATTGTTATTTTTGGAAAAGGCAGTCAAAGTAATGACAAAATGTTAAAATTTCCTTTTACTTAGACATTTATTTTTCAAAGTGTATAAACATTGCAAACATAAAACCCTGTAAAAATAATTGTAAACATTCAACCCTAAATTCATTTTATACAGCTTTGATAATTTATTTATGGCAGTCTGTCACATATTATTAAAAATTGCTGTCCCATCTTGTTTACAGGGATACAGGGTTGCCTGCAACAGATTTTGGGGCTCTTTTTACCAGACATCCACCGGATTGGAACAAAATGTAAGTAGCCCCCGAACTGCTGCAGGTTGTATAAAATATTTATTGATCCAGAGGAGTGAAGGCATGAGGGTATGCCAAGGTCAACAAAACGACTGTTACATGACATTTCAGATTTTCTTTAACAAATTTTTTTTTCAATCAAGAGGTATAACATTAATAATAATAACAACAACAATAATAAAAGGAATAATGCAAGCCAATCCTCATTATTTGCACATCTGTATTTACAAATTCTCCTAACTCTCTAAAATTTATTTGTAACCTTCAAATTAATACTTGCGGTACTGATGCAGTTACTTGCAGACATGGGCAAAATGTTAAGTCACCTGATGTTCACACTTTCAGCTGAAGTAAAATATGGAGGTGATCTGCCTTCTTGTTTTAGTTCTCATGCAGTAAACGACTGTCCCTTCACAGTCTATTTAGTGCCATGCTTTTCTAACTTTTATGCTTTTTGTTGATCTCGTTGTTAAAATGTCCCCCAAGCATAGTGCTGAAGTGCCATCATGTCCCTAAATACAATAAAGCTGTGATGTGCCTTTTGGAGAAAATCCATGTGTTAGATAAAATTTATTCAGGTAATGATGATAGTGCTATTGGTGGTGAATTCAATGTTGATGAAGTGACAATATATTCTAAATAAGATGTCTTTAAACAGAAACACGCACAAAATAAGGTCATATATTGATCAAGCAGAGACATGTCATGACCAGACGCTTTCAGGAACCTAACCTTGTATTGCCCTTAAGAGCAACGGTTCAATGCTTGCTAATTCAGGGTTTGCAACAACCTCTTGGAGCACTACTGTGAAAACAGAATGGACTGTAGAGCAAGAGATTGATGCATTTTTACTGATAATAGAAATTATTTGGGGAACAGTGTTAATTACCACTACAAAAAAGGAAATTTCTTATCTACTCATCTTTCTAAAGAACACATATTTTGTAATATACAGGTAAGTGATATGGAAATATACTTACAAACATGACAAAATTCTTGATATTGGATTTTGTATTACAGGATTGTTGTGAGAACTAAGCAAATTAAGATATGTAAAACAATTAGAACAGCAACTGTGACTTTAGGAGAATTTTCTTGATTTCTTTCATTCTTGATTCATTTTGTTTTCTCTTTCAGAAATTTTCTACTTGGATATTGGGTTGCTTGGCCTGATTCCTTGGATTTTCTTGTCTTTTTTCTCTTTTTTTTTCTTTTTATCTTTAGTATTTACTTTGCTCTCTATTACTACAATGCTACTAATGAATTTTGTTTTCTGAATTATTCTGTTTTTTTAAGATCCTTTTGGGGTTTCATGACCACAATATCTTCCCTTAGCCATCTGGGACAGTTAATGATAGTTTGTTTTTCTTTTAATTTCTCTCACACATAGTCTTCACTCAAAGCTGCTTTTTATTTAGTTTTAATTTTTGTTTGTATGGCATCTATCTTTGATGTGAGAAGCATTTTCCTCAGATGGTTCGTCATCAATTCTTGGTTTTTGTTCATAATTAAACAATAAGGCTGGGAGCCTATGGCAAGCATCATTGGAGGAATCTAGCTGGGTCGGCTTTTTAAAGCAGCCTTAGTGTCATAATTTCAGACTTTCCTTTTGGGCTGGTCAGATTACCAGAGGTGGAGCCCCAAGGGAAGTTTACCAGGGGAGGTGCAGTTGCTCTGCAGTGGAGGAGGACCTTTGGAGCTCTAACTGCTTCTTGAATAGCTCTGCCTCAGTCACCCTTTGATATCTTAGAATTTGGCTCTCTTCTACCTTATCCATCTTCTTTTATGCTTCCAAAATTTGTTTCTTTCTTCCTTTCTGTTCTATCTATTCTTGTGGATTCTAAGGTTCTAATGAAATTTTTGAGGAGCTCTTGAGGAAAGCAAGATTCTATGTGTTGTTCAACTTTAACTCTGAAGTTGGCCTCCTCCAGAAGACCTTCCCATACCTAACACCCCTATTCCCATGACTTCATAGACCCCTCCTCATGGCTGTTCATAGCGCTGTGTGCTTCTTTTTTACTAACACTATTTATTTGCTTTTGCCATTACTTCCTTTTTTGTGTTTCTTTCTGAATTCAATGCTCTGAGGGGCAGGACTGTCACAGTTCCATCCCCAGTGCCTAATATAGTCCTGACCCATAGCAGGTGCACCATGATTGTATTTGAATGCATAAGTTAATTACTTCTGATGTTGAACAACAAATTATAATAAAAGGGGGTGTATCTAATTTCTTATTTGATTTAGGAATTTGAGACCTGAAGAACACAATGATGTCTTCAATTCTATTTTGATAAATGCATTAGAAGACATGGTGTTTCACAAAACCAGCCCTTATTATTAATTTGAACTGCTAGAACTTCTTTGTGTTATTTGATTTATGAGTATTAGCAAGGAAATAAACACACCTTCAACTGTCCTTTGCTAATTCCATAAGTAATTCTTTCTTTCAGGTAATATACACTAATTAAAGGACAGTCCATATAATAGAATACTGTGGGGGTTTAGAATCTGCTGTCTTGAATATTAAATATTCTTTTGCTTCTTGCCAGTTGTACAGCTGTGGAAGTTAAATGTCAACTTTAAAAGGCAATGAATAAGAATGAGTTTGCTCAATGGACCAAAATAATGTGCTTCAACTTATAAAAGAAAGGCTGTAATCATAATGTAAATTTAAACTTCAGGTTACCTCTTAAGGAAAAAAAATCAGAAGAAAGGTATAGCTTTGTTATTAAGGAGACATTAGTCCAATGCAATGATCTTAATTTTTTGAGATAATATCCATTATATTGTAATGAAACTCAACTATTTGTTTCTTTTTCTCATAACTCAGCCTTTGGCCCACTTACTTCACTTGGGACCAAGATGGAGAAGACACAATACTTACACAAATTGGTAGTACATATCTCAGTAAAACAGATTGAAAATCAGAAGAACTAGAATGCTCAATACCACTCGTCACTTGTCACTTTTGTCAAACTTGTCACTCCTGACTTTCACTAGAGAAAAGGGCTCTGTGAACAATTTCTTCCTTATATGCCCCAGATTGAGATAAATGGAAAAAAAATTATAATATAGGGAACAATTAGGCAGAGATGAAAATTGATAGCAAAGACTTAATATGAGATTTATAGACTTTGAGTCTGGATTGAGCTCATCTAGAACTAGATATATTGTTTCTCTTGAGGGTTGACTACATTCCCAAGGACTTGACATTGGCCAGTGATGGAAGAGTTGAGTCAAGGAGGTTCAAAAATCTCTTTAGACAGTAACAGTGCTCTTTTGATCTCTGATCTGGTTGCCTGTGTAAGGAATCTCAAACATACATTACTTTTACTATGTAGATGTAGACAGTCAAAACATAGAAAAATAAAGGGGAGGATGGTTTCCTTTAAGGTATATAGGAAAAATGGATGGAAATGTGAATAGAGTGAATGGGCTAACTTAAGTGTCTTTCCTTGCCCTCTTATCTGATTCTCAAGCATCTCAAGTAAGTTTGACTCAATTTTGAAAGACTTTTTATGAGGCCTAGAAAACTAAATCATAACTTATCAGAGGGGTCCTATATATCTGATTATCTAATACAGAATAATTTCATGATTTGTTCAGACCCAGATAGTCATAGCTAATTCATTTCAGGAAGTAAGGTTTTCTGTGTAAAAGTATCTGAATTATATCTGTGACCATTAAATGAACAGCTAGAGACAAAAACAATAGAATAAACAACAACAAAAACTATATCAACAGATTCAATTTTAAAAGGGAAATTTAGGAAGAAATATAATTTTATGTGAAGGTCTTATTTCTCAGAGTATTAAATATTGATTTGATAGTAACTTAAATATACGCATGTAATCTTTTGTGATCCTAGGATAAGGGTCCACAGAAGAAGTCATTTTTTTTAATAGGGAAAACCCCAATTCTGGTAGAGGGTATTTGCCATGGGAGAAGCAGTTGCTTAGGAACCGGGATCAGTTTAAGAACATTCGGGAATACTGAGCACTAAGCACCCACTGGAGAATGGAGAAATAGCCAAGGTAGACCTCATACAAGGTCAGCCCTAAATATTGAATACTGTCATTTTTTACTGAAACTTATTGCCTTCTGATGGTAGTGATCAGTGTATATTTGTTAAAATTTTATGATTTTAAGTGTGTCATGTTTCCGAATTCACCCAAATACTTATATGATCCTCCTGGTGGGAGAAGAAACAAATTAACATTGACTTGGATCACTGGATAACTTTTTGACATTATGCGTTTTTTGAAAGAGCACAGTATGGGAAACTAGGAAACCTGGGATCTACTTCTTGGCCTACGTTAAAGCTACTAGGTGACCTTGTGCTGGTTAATAACTCTCTCTTGACTCCAGTTGTTTCCATCTGGAAAATGAGGGGATTGGATCAAATGATCTGTAAAGTCCTTTCCCATGCTAAAATTTTATGGCTCCGAGGAGCAAGGCATCTATGGTCGTGTAAATAGGCAAGTTAAATGAGGCCAAAAGTAGTTCAGGCAATTAAGTTTTCATTGTTGGCAGACAGCCGTCATCCATATGTGTGAGTGGAGTGGTCATTTCACAGTAGCCACAGCAAGCTTGGGCCACAGTTTATTCCTCTCACTGGGGCATTTAGCATCTGTAAAACCTCTGTACTTTTCAAAGGAAACATACTGCATATAAGTTGTTAGAGGACCCCCACCCCTTTTCTCAAAGTATAGTGCAAAGCATTTATTTTCTTTTCTACTTAGGCACTCCTATGGTGTTTTTTCTCTTGGTGAAACACCAGCCAGTTGTTATGAGAGGGACCTAAATTCCATTCCCGAGTCTGCATCTTATTCATTGCAGGACATTTAGTTTTTGTGTGACCAGCTTTTTTTCTTTGGGGCCAACATCCTCTCTTTCCCTCAGTGTAATTTAGCTAGGTCATATGATGGAAGGGCTGATTCTGTTCCTCATTCCCATCTCCCCATAAGCCCAAGTGTTGGGTACCTGATCCAGGCCAGGC